AAAAGTAATTTATGCGCCTAAAATACCAATTACAACCACAGTATTTAATAATTCTGTCTGTTTCTGTTACTAAATAGCCAGCTTATTGGAAAATGTTGTTAATTAGAAACTTCATTAACATTTATTTGCTCCCATTATATTAAATAGGCTATTAGTAAATTGTATTTAAGGAGATAAGTGGATTTTACCGTAGAAGTGGAAGTTGCTATGGACAACGGGAGGTAAGTGAGGTAACTTACCTCCCTAGGGAAAAAAGCGATTTCAATTATAAATGCATATTTTATGAATAAATAAATAGAAATATTTGACGATTCCATTTTATTATTATTATGAATGAATATTTATAGTAATTGTACAGTTATTACATTTAGTAACATTTATAAAATCTGGATAATTATTCCGTGTTTACTAATTGTCACATTTTTCTCAAAATGATTTGACCGCTCCATTTCAGTCACCGGAGGCTCAATATTATCTGACCGATCCATTAAAACAGCATGATGCGACGTACTACTAGAACCTGGAGTTGAAGTGTCATTGCAAAAAATCCTGTTGGCTATTTCATTTTTGTTTTAAACTGTCAGCAACATAACTTTCTGCAGTTATGGCTGCTTTCCACCCACCATGTCTCTTGATTGCTAATACATCAACTCCTGTATTAGCCAGTAACGTTGCCGATATTCTTCGGAGCGAATGGCCTGTATATATTTCAGGATGTTCTAGTTTCAAAAACTGTGCAATCTTATTAGTAATCATAGAAAGGGTATTCTTGCCGACTGGTTGGTTGTACCATCTACCTGCTTGTTAGCGCATAAAAGAGCGTGAAATTCCAGTTTTAATTTCCAATCTAATCTTGATAGTATATTTCTTGAGAATTGCTAGGTGAGAAACAGAACCCAAACGAGAAGTAATTGTAAACGTACGTAACATACCATTTTTAGAATTTGGAATTGTAACTACAATAATGTCATCGAAATTTTTGAAATTGACGTCCAAAGTAAGTTTGCATAACTCATCTGAACGATATGCTCCTGCAATGCCTAAGACCGTCACTACCTTCATTAGCAAATATGTGGTATTTTTAATTCTTTTAGGAAAAATTCGGGTCCCATATTTTTTAACTTACTTCCAATTTGTGATGTAGTCAAAAAGTTGGAAACACCGCGTTACGCAAACTTCGCGAAATCCAGCAATTATTACGCACTGCCAGACGAAAGCCGCGTGCTCTGGGTTTCTTGAAAAGGTAAACACAAGGGACCTGGTTGTTGTTTGCGCCTCGTCGTCGACCTAGTTTGGCTGGGGCTGCCGGGCTAAGGTCACCGGTTGTCTCTGAAGAGACGCGCCGTGCCCTTTGAGGGCCTCGACCTGACCTTATCCTTTTCCCTGGTCTCCCGGCGCGCTCGGGATAGCGGCGGTGGTGTTGGCCTAGTTTTCCCAACGTAATTAGGACGCTACGTCGGCGGCGCAACCGACGCCGATTCCACGAATTCGTATTGTGAGGAAGCGGAAGTCTCGGTCCTCCGATACCAGAGACAAGTGGCTCTGGCGAACGGTTCATTAATATCTTACTTGATAGTGTCGCGGAACCGGTTTTTTTGCTCTTTGGGAAAAATTAAGTGTCAACAGTAAAGTAAGTCAACAGTAAATGTTCTATAAAAAAAATAAATAAAAAAAATGTGTTGACGAAAAACATTGATAAATGGGATAAACTAAAATAATAAGTACTGTGTTTAGAAATCCGCAATTTTCGAAAAAATTGGTCGTCGGAAAACAAATTTTTCTTCACAGAAAACTTGGAAGAAACAAAACAATTTAATTTTTGTTAAAATCAGGAATATGAAGGATTCTAGCTACTTTGTTTTCCAATAAAATAATATATAATTGTTAATATTTAATCAACGGGAAATAATTAGACAATTTTCGCATTTGGAAAAAGCTTATAAAAATTCTGAATATGTCTAGAATTACCAAGACATGGAATATGATCTTCCTTTAAGTGAATTTTGTAAAATGTTTTTGTCTGAGCTCCATCTTTTAATGAGCTTTTATGTTGAAATTGTGTATATAGAAAACTGATTTTTTTCATTGTTTACTTATGAACAATTAAGATTTTGTTTTTTTTTAACGTTATAAATATTATATTTACTTTTTATTGATTTGTGCTTGAGCTCTACTAATTTAAGATTTGAAGGCATGTCGAATATACAGTATGACCCATTTTAAATGGAAACACTTTTTAAAAAAAGTCGGATTTAATTAGTTTTTTTTTACACTCTATTACGTCACACAACACTCCATGCAATTTATTTTCAGTTAAGAAAGCATATTTTTATTATCAAATTTGACAAAAACTTGTTAGCAATTTTTTTATTCAAAATCTAAGTATGCATCTGGAAGCTGCATCTCCTCAAATAAAGTAGTATAAAAAATTATAGAATAACAAATACTTTAAATAAACAAATAAAATGTTCATTAATATGCTATTTTTGCTATAATAATAGACTTCTTTATGTGAGATACACTTAAAAGTATACAGTGTATTTAGTCAACCAACAGAGTTAGTTAAATGTCTGAAAAGTTCTCTTTAAAGAACTCTTAAGACATTTATGAACATTTACGAAAAATATTGGAAGGTGATGTAACAAATGCATCAGTAAAAATAATTTTGAGAAAATTTTCAAAAATTTTAAATTTGTGCTCCAACTACAATACCATAGCTTGTGTTATTGTTTGTAATTTTTCGTTATTCATAGTTATAATTAAATGGTTCATTCATTAAATTTAAAATTATTGGTTAATTTGAAACTGAGTACTAAAAAGAGCAAATTGATGAATATTTTATGTTTATTTAATTTATTTATGATTACGTAAATTGTTCACTCCATTTAGGAACTACAGAAATGATAAAAACCACCATTAATATTAATTTTACAGGTAGCAGAGAATATATTTTCATTAAATTTGATACAAACCTAATCGAGGAAGTGCAAAATTTAAATTTGACAATAAAAAAAGTAGGCTTTGATAACTGAAAATAAATCCAAATGTCATGTGAAGTAATAGAGTTAGGGTATAAATACGTCTTTTGCCATTTTATAATGGGTCACACTGTATGAATTTTGTTAAAATACTTTATTTTCATGTTATCATTGAGGTTTATTCCAACAAAATATATCTGGAAAAATATTTTAGTATTCTTTCAAGTGGTTTTATTACGGACATCTCAGTAAAGATAATGACGCATTTGGATGTATTTGTGGCACCTTTTTGCACGCAATAAATTGGCCAATTTATTGGTCAAATTTAAGAATAAAGATAAAATTTAGAATAAAAATCATCCGTCTAACAGCAAACCACAAATGTAAATAGACTTGTAACTTATGCCAGATCTTATAACTACGTATCTGCAATAACAAACACAAATATTATGTCACCTTCTTCTTTAATAATATTTAAAACATTAAAAGACGTCAGTGATTAAAATTGGTATTATTAAATAAATACTGAGTTGCCATAATTTACTGAATAAATTAAACCCTCCAATTATCTCAAATTTCATGGTAAATCACAACTCACTCAAATGTAGAATAAAATAATTTTATTTATCAATTCACGCCACCTGGTGGCTTTCTTATAAACAGCAATATTTTTATAACAAAAAAAATCGAATTTGTTCCGGAAATCGCTATTAATGCTAAAAAAATGGAGTGTTCTGAAACGAATAGGCCATACCTAAGGATAGTTTTCTTGAATTAAATAAATTTACATCGAGTTACCTTAGTATAGTTCTTTTTGTTTCGTTCAATGAAATTTGATAAAATGTAGGTATTTCTGGATAATACAGTAGCTGAATATGAGTAAGAGCTAATTTTTTACGTTTCTTTTATTGTCATGCGGTTTTTTAGACCTTTTGGGATAAGACATTTTATGAAGTCTCATTTTATTTACTGTAAAAAAGGTATATTTGTACATATCGCTGAAGTGGACCGTCCCGCAAGTATGTATAGCTAAATTAAATATTTTTTTCAAATTAGACTAACCTACTTCTATTAAAAAGTCGGTGCAAGCAAAATAATTGTACTAAGTTGATTTAAATTGGTTTATGTTCACGCGAGGATGCTACCCTTCTAGCATAGCCCATTTGCTTCCGAACATCTGTCCTACATAGCTTGAGTAGTCTTTCGTCTCTTATACCTACCTAAGGCCAGGATTCAATTAGGTATTGGTTAACGCTCACCTTGTTTTCTAACATTTTAGTCGTGAAGAAACAACAATTTTCTTTAAAAAGAACGTTACCTATCTCACCCAAGAATGTATGTATTTATAAATCCTGTAAAATTTTGTAGCTACGTACTTTCTAATGTAACGAAATCTGAAAAACAGGGCCTGTCCTGTAGTAATTGGTACCTACTCAAAATTCGTACGAACTACTCAATAGGAGGCACGAAGAAACTTCTTTCAATATCAAATTCATCCATGCATCGTAAGTCGCCATTTCCTTGTTTGCGAATATATCATATTCAATTCGATCTAAATAGGTAAATAAGTAACTAGGCTAAGAATAGTGTACCAGTAAAGTCATTAAGTAAATTTAATGAAAATAAGTTGAGTAAAACTGTATTGAAATTATCGTGCTACCACTGCTACCTACAGCCTCTTGCCCTTCATTTAAATTGATAAGAATACCTACGGACTGTGGAAGTGTTCATTGTTTTCAAAATTAATTACGTATGTAAGCACTATTTTCTAGCAAAAATTAAATTTCGAAATCCCAAATAAATACGAACCTGCCTACAATGTTTTTATTTATACTGCATTCCGCTTGAAATAAAACAGGGGCCCCCCACGCCCTAGAACCCGTCCCCGAGAGCGCGAACAATCAAAACTACTTTCCGGTTCGCACGCTTTCCAATGCCGAGGCAAATCGAATGCCGCCGATTGGCTAGTCGGTTTTAGCAAGGCAGCGCTGCCACGTACTGATGGATCAATAAACAAATCTGTGGTGCCCGCAAAATACAAGTATTTAACGCCAAATTGTTGAAAAAAAATTGTGATATTTAGTATTCTCATTTGTTTTGTGTGATAAAAAACACTAACATTTTACCTGTGAACACAAATAGTGTGCACTGAATAATGACTTGGGTGTTTCTGAAGCGTTCTGATGCCCCCCTCTCGTAGCACAAGTTTCGCTGGTTGTTCTTCTGGCGTCCATATTTGTGTGTAAGTTAGATTTATTTTTTATGAATACTACGGCTAAAACAAAGCGTTTTTATTGTATTTTTTATGCCTCGTATTAGTTTTGTGCATGGTTAGTTTATAAGCGAATATTGCAGATTGTGTGTGTGGTAATACAAATTTGATCGTGTCGTGATTCCACCTCGTTTCGAAATCAGCGTTATAGGGTCAACGGAGGTGTAAATTCCGTCGAGATTGTGTTGCTCTATTCTAATGCGTTTGTAAGTTTTTCGAATTTCACGTTCAATATAAAGGATTTTTTTGCAAATTTCATTAGTAACGCCTACTTAGATTCTTACACAATCGTTCAAAATAGTTGTTTTCGTATCTATTAATACACTGTCTCCTGCTTGTTGTGTAGGTGGTTGAGTAGCCAAGTATTTTTTTTTTTTATTTTTCTGCATTGTATTTGTCTCGTCCATTTGTAGTGTAGAAAAATATATATATAACTAAAAGATTATTATAAAGATCGTTCCCTTAAAACGTTAACCATGTTTTCATATATTGTTATCTTATTAAATTATCTTTTAAAATGGTTGCAAGTTTGTGATATTTTTACCACTTCACATATAAAAAGTATATTCCATTCTATATTTGCAATGTAGTCGCTATTAGCTCCATATACATTTTAGTATACAAAAAAAGAACAGTGAAAACATTTATTAATTTGGTGTAGAAGTGTCCCATTTTTGTAAACAATGTAGATTTTTCCCATTATATTTTTTATAAATTATTTAGTTTAACATATCTTAGTTATATTCCTTTATTTCTATGATTGTAATAAAAGAGACACCTTTTATGAAATCAGTTTGAGCGAAAATATTGAAATATGATAAAAATATGTGATGGACCATAAAAATAAATTGATTTAAATTAAATTACTTGGGACAATTGTATTTCCTTAAATATATGTTTATGTTCCGTTTTCCTAAATAAATAAATAAATATATAATTAAGGGACATAGAACAGTTACTTATAATTTACGATGGCTTGTCATTCAAATGCCAACACCTATTGAATATCACTTCGTTCAGAGAGCTATAGCTCAGTTAGTCACATTTCGATAGACAAAGGCAAGTTGGTCTAAATTTTACAAGTCATGTAGTTTAGGTACAAAATTAACAAGTTTATGTGAGATAGAATACTCCAAAATACTTGTTTGTCCATAACCGATAACTGTAGTAAGAAATTTAACTCCATTTTATATATTAAAAAGAAAACAAATAAATTTATAACATTTTGCTTTATAAATGTAATTTTCTGTGTGAAGGCTACAATTTTCAATAGAATGCACGTTACAATGTGGGAACAACTAAAAAAAAATAATAATTACATTACTGTATTTATTTTTTCAATTCAAAAGCTTCCCTAGACCAAATTTTATTGAAATATCTTATAAAGTGATAGATTTATCATAAAAATATTAAAGTGCATCCAGACATGCAACAGAACATTGTAATGCAACTTCGATTGGGACAATTGTTAATAATGCAATATTGACTTGTATCACTGCCTTGAATATTCTGCCATTTCAATTGTTATTCAGTTCGAGTTATCGTTTCGTTCCGTTGATGCAGCGCCTACATATGTGGATGATCCTCGGGATAATGATTTTCATTTTTGTCGTTTCCCTCCTTTTTTTTATCTTCCTGTAGTGAAATCTGCATATTTGCCCCAAGCATCGTTTTTTTTTTTAATCATTGTAATGTTGTAAATATTTTGTATTCTGCGGTACTTATTTTCCACATGTATCAATGGAATAGCGAACTTTTTCCTGTTATCATTCCATGATTATAATCAGACTACTTATTGAATGATGTGATTATACGTAATAGTCGAGAGAGACAAAAGAAAGGCTTGACTGACATAGAAGTGCAACATTTTTTTGTTGAAGTACTGCAAAACTAAAAACTGATAGAACAGTATGATGTAATGTTACGCTGTTCTCTTCTCGGTTCTATTGTTGCAAATTTTAATAAATCCACATTATTTTTGTTTCATTTACAATTTTACAATGATGTTGGAAGATTTTTGTGTATTCTTTTACAGTACTTCCGTCGTGTTGTTGTTGTGTGACATGTGACATTATCAGTGTGTATTTCTTGTTATAGATCTCTGGCTGGCCAGACTGATATGGAGCACTAGTGACGATGCGCGCCCCTACCCCCTCCGAGCCGAAGTCTACATTTCCTACCTACCAAGTGCCTCAAGAGTCAGCCATGAGGGGCAGCGCACCCCCAGTACAAGTCGCAAGGGCAGCTTGGGGGGGTCGAGCCGACCCCCCGAGTCCTTCCCGCTGCGCCCCCAGTGGCGCTTCATCTGTGATATCCGGCTCAAGTTGCTGTTCACTTGGCAACTCTAATATTAGAATGCAATCTGTGACCGAAAATTGTCTTCTGAACTCTGTTACCGTACCAAAAATACAACGTATTGACCATGGCATGGTCACCCACAATAATAGCTCTAAGTTAGATGATAAGTTTGGTGCTTTACCCCCTGGACGAGACATTCCCAACCAAAAGTCTGATGACCTCGAACTGCTCCAAGACCTGAATGCACTGAAAATTCTTAAATGCGATAATACAAACTGCGATAACAACGATAACAAGAACCACGACGACATGTGCCACCTCAATAGGCTTAAACTTAAACTGCGCACGAATAATGACAACAACATTGCAGCTCAGGACGCCCGCCTGGCCATACCCCTGAGGCTCAGGGGTGGCGGCGAAAGCTCCCTTAGCACCGGCACCTCAGGCTGGGGCACCCCGCCTTCACAGCAGGCCAGTAACAACAATGGTAAGCATCTTACAATAGATATTTCTGCAAACCCCCCGGGTGACCAATAAATAATATTAATTTTGCCGGTTAGAAAAGAAAAATGGGGTTCTCACTCATCTGAAAAAATCATGGATGTAGGCTCGGTAGTATATTCATATTTTACATACTTGATCATATTTTCAAGTCTCCTTCATACTAATAACTTAATAATTTTGATCAGGTAATTTTTAATAAAAAAACAAGAAGTGTTTCGTTTTTGAGACATCGTTAAATATTCTGTCATAATTTTTTAAAAATATACCTCTATATTATTATATTCAGGGTGTATATGGATCTGGAAAACCTGGAACTATCAGGAAATTTCATAGATCTGGAATTGACGGAAAAATATCAGAGAACTTCTCAAATTTTTATGGATTTTTTCAAATTTCAGTTGTAATGACTTTATTTACAAAATATTGCCAGTGGATGTTACTTAACTGAGAATTGTTACTACTATTACTAATTTTACTAATTCACAAAACCGTTTTCTATAATTGCAATTGAAACTTTCGAAAACTAAGTGTTTCCTGACTGTTTACGATTTTTTTTTTTTGGGAGTTCTATTACCCTGTGAAGTTTGGTGTATGTATTTTAGGACATCCTGTGTTTAATTTTTAATATCCGATGGGTAATAGTAAAAATTGACTGAATAGTCTTAAATGAGGAAGTTCATAATAGGTTCATATTTTGACATGCATACTTTCATAAATTTTTTCGATTAACGTACTGTGGTCTATTTGGCTTGAAAATCTATGTCAGGGGAAAAATCTTTAATTATTCTTAATTATACTGTCTTGTGTTCTCTGGACCAGCTTCTGTTTGCCTTTAGTGTTCTTGATATATAGGGTGATTCAGAATTTATCCAAAAAGAAATTAACAACTATTGTTATTATTAATTAATAAAATTAATTTGTGGTTTTAAATAATAAAATAATTTAACATACATGATGTTATAACATATGTTCAAAATTTTGTCCACGGACGTGTAAACTCTACGTTTCTACGAACTAACACAAATGTTGTCTTGTTTCACCATAAATTAAAACGATATCCATCACTCTGAGTTGCTATACACGCAAGCCATTTTTGACACTACCTACTAAAAAACTATTGTAAACACAACAGATAACAGGTAAACACTGTCGCAACGGCAATTGTAAAATCGGATTTCAGTATTCGGAGTTGCTGAGGCCACGTGGCTCTTCACGCTTAGGTATTACAAATGACGCTAGAGGCTATAGTTGTCCAGCTATGTAATGATTGAAAGTACTACAACTTCAATAATTTTTTTCTCAGAAACTATAAGGATTTTACAAATTTTAGGATATTGACTCCTATTGCTTCTATTCTTAAATTTTTTTGGATAAATTGTGAATCACCCTGTATAACATTATACTTATAGCGTGTTCCAATGTCCATATTTTTCTTATTATTAAAGTAGACATAGCCCTGATATCACCATGACTTCAAATATGACGCAATATGCATGGTGTTCCATTTAAAAAATGTTATATAAATGCATACTTTGATATTTAGCATATTCCAAAATAGTTAAGATAGACTCGCTTTTATAACTAATAATCTAGTACATGTAAATGTAAATTTAAGATCAAGGAGCAATGATGGTAGTGGTTATGGAGAGGAATTTTAATTTTGATAAATGAATGGAAACTGGGAGTAAGATTAGATTTTAGAAACGAGTATTAGAGAAACCAAAAGAAAATTTATTCAACTTGCTCTAGTTTTTTAAGAGAATACTTGAAATTTTTACGTTCAATTTAAACATTTTCTGATAAAAATAAATGCATGTTTTCTTTTAGAATTTTACCATTTTCAAAAATAAAATAATAAAGATGGAGGCTACAAAATATGAAGATTTATTATTTACTAAAAAAAAAATAAATCTTATATCTGCATCTGAAACTTTTGCACATACAGTGTGTTTTGGAAAAGGGCCCAAAAATTCAGTGACTGATAGAAAGGACATAATTTTTTCTTATAATTTTGGAGATACAAGATGATAATACTTTTGATTCAAATTTTGTTATATCTTTTACAAAATAGTACAATATATTGAATTTGCAGCAGGTAAAGATTTTGGCAATGTTAAATAAAAACTGTTCTTGTTAAAATTAATGAAATTGCACCATTTTCAGGAAAAACGCAATTGACTGCCAAAATTAACTAGTTTGTATCTCTTAAGTATATCGCTTTATCAAGTGCGTTCTAATAAGTACAACGAAACCTTATTGTTAAGTCTTTTACTGTTTATTCATTGAATGCCAAATTATTATTAACAAAATGAGTGGCAGTGTTTACAGATAGAAATTGGATTTGTAGAAGAATACCTTTATTGCGTAAAAAGGTATTTTCAATATGCAAAAAACCTAACCTCAAAATATATCATTGAAAAGGATACCAGTTAGTGACCTTTACAAGATAGTCAAGAACTAACAACATTGTTGTTTTTAGCAACAACTTACTTGCAAAATACTATATTTCATAGATAATGTAACCAAAATGTCGGTATAATATAATTTGTTAGTTATAAACAGTATTTTATCAGTTTATACAAAGAATGGAACCCAATTCTCTATTAATTTACCAATATTGATATTGGAGTTTGTTAGTTTTAGATAAGATTCTGTGTTTGTTTTGTGAATGAGTTAATTAACACTAATGAAAATTTATCAAGTTTCACTTTATTTTTTAAATTAGTCTATTCACTTAAAATCTAGTAATATATTTTTTTAGTCATTTGACTATGGTTTTTTAACTTCTACACTCTCCATAAACGTACAATATTATAGCAAATTCTCATGCATTAAACAAGTAATGGAAACCACATAATTTGAAATGTCGACAGGCTTTTGAAAAATTATACCCGATAAAGTTGAGAGTGAGAGTAATATCTATAATTTTACATTTTTGCCGTGAGCAAGCCCCCATTTTTCGGCAACAGTATTACTTCGGTAGAGGGTAGAGGTAGGTGGTACATTAGCATCAAAAAAAGAATTCTGTTTCATGTAGCGACTAGCTCGAGCGGTTGGGGCACCGCTAACCCAGTCAATCAGACCACCGCCGGTACCCAACAGTGGAATAACAATGCTAATCGACCACCGCCGTCAAACCAAGGCCATACTCAAAACGGTAATTCCGAAGCATTTCTATGGAAGTAATTTCTTAAGGGCCCTTCCTTGCAGGAAACAAATCCAACGCTAGTGGCCAACAGCCTCCTACTTCCCAGTCCAACACTACTGGCTGGGGCCAACCCGGAACAAAACCCGCACCCAACAACTCAATGCCGCCTACTACTCAACCCGCTACCTCCGTCACCAACACTTCGAACAACAACGGACCAAGCAGCAACACGAAACAACAGCTAGAACAATTGAACAGCATGCGAGAGGCTATCTTCAGTCAAGATGGATGGGGCGGAGTAAGTATCCATCTGTATTTCCGAGGGTAATAATAATAATTCTAGTGTATTGAAAAAATAACGACCATTTAAGTACTTTGGGATTTGATACTGTTTATATGTTTGCCGAATATTTTTCTGGTGTGTAGTGACGGGAAATATTTTTAACTGCCTTTTAATTATAAAGGTTCAAGTGTTAATTGTACCATCGCTATATTTCTAGTTTCTGTGGTCCTTGTTCTCTTCCAGGAGTTCCATATCCAACAAAATCACAGTGGTGTCAGATGTGCCTCAAGGTTCCTACTTAGGACCACTGTATTTTAATGCTTTTATGAATGATATTCATGAGTGTCTCTCCCATTGTAAGTGATGAAGATACCATATTAGCCTTATTTATAAATAATATGGTTGAATAACTTATCGAAGTTAGTCTCCCATAAAATTCCTGTCACCCTTGTTGAAAATATAAAGGTGACAGGGATTTTATAAATGAGTCGTCATTTTTCCAATATCACCTCCAAAGCATTAAAAATATTCATCATCATTGGCGCTATAAACCTGTGTAAATCTTTGCCTGTTCTACCATCAGTGTCCATTCTTCTCTATTCTTCGCCTTGGCTTTCCAATTTTTAATTCCTACTGTTCTTAAATTTTCTTCCATCTGATCCTTAAATCTAGCTCTGGGTCTGCCTCTCTTCCTATGTCCAGCAGGTGTTTGCAGGAATATTTTCTTTGGGGGTTCCATGTCGTCCGTATTGGGATTTATTAAATGGGATATGATGTTTCTGTTTGGTCTCCATAGTAGGACTCATGTGTTGAGAGCTTTCAGAGCTGACACTTGTATTTGGATTACCTTCATGCCTTGACATTTCCTATTGCATAAAGCATAGATTTAAAACTATTTTCTTATTAACAAAAGTAGTTGTCCTTTCTACTTCCCAGAATTGTTTTCCATTTTCATGTTTGTACATCGAACAAAATGATAGATGCAGTTCTTTTATTTTTTGCTTAATGCAATTGATTGCTTTATTTTCTCCTTTCGTCAATTGTTCTTTTGTAATTTATGTTTATAATTTCTGTTTTATTTTTACACATTGTTTCATTGTAACATTGAACAAAAAAAGTGGGCTTTGGGTCGTAAATAAGTCATTCTAATTCGGGAATTCTGTAGCAACACGTGAACCAAGACACAAACTGGGACATCCCCAGCAGCCCGGAGCCGCCCATGAAAATGGACGGATCCGGTGGTCCCCCACCATGGAAACCTGCCGTCAACAACGGAACTGAACTGTGGGAGGCCAATCTGCGAAACGGTGGACAACCGCCTCCGCAACCACAACAAAAGACTCCCTGGGGACATACCCCATCGACGAATATCGGAGGAACTTGGGGCGAGGACGATGACACCGATAGTTCCAACGTATGGACTGGCGTACCCTCTAATCAGCAGCAGCAGTGGGGTGCTGGCGGTAATACGAACAATGGTGCTATGTGGGGCGGTAAGTTGTTTTTTTTTTTGACGTTATTTTGATGGTTTGTTTGCTGTGAGTTAGCTCCTGATGAGTACTAACTTAAATTTAACGTTATTACAATTCCTTTGGATTTTTTTTTTCAGTATTGTCTCTAATTAGTTTAAATTTATTTTAAAGTTAATTATAGATAAGAGTACTAAAGTTAAATTTTTTATGATAGAAATTTTGTAATTCCGGTTAAAATATTGTTGTATACTTGACGGTGGGAGGTTTTTTATTTTTGAGGTGCAAGTGTGGCCAAATTTGCATAACTTAACGATTAATAATACGCCAAAGCGAAATATAATGTACCTCTTTTCATTTTGGAGTTATTGTGAAACACTGAAAATTTTTTTTAATCAAAAATGGAAAGAGGTGGTCGTTTTAAATCCACAGATTATCAGGACATTTTTTATGGAGAATTCCAATTTGTAATCGTTTGTTTATGCACATTTTTCTATTTATGTTGATTTCACATAATGATATGATTTCCTTTTTCTCCTCCAAATATCAAATTATTAACAGTATTTTGAAAACAAAACATCCAACTACAGTTTTTAGACAGTTCAGTAAAACTTTCGATTATGTCAAAATTTAAAGAGATAAACATGCATTTTTCTTATGAAGAAAGAGGTGAGGTTTGAGGTGTGCCTCAAACTTATTGATTAAATACTCTGAAAAATATCAATTTTCGGTTTCATGTGAAAATTACATCTTTAATGGTCTAAACTTTGACATCAATGAAGATTTAACTAAATTGTTATAATTGCCTATGGCTTCATATGCCCTACACTGACAAAGAGTGACCTGTAATATCACGGGTACTATAAAAGCACGACCATTCGCCAACTAGATGAACCTTAATTTTTTGTACTGATAATAGTGAAAGAAATGACTAAGTACTTTGCGGGCTATATAGCCCGACCCGTATTGAATTAATATTCTAGGTAAACGGTTAGGATCAATCCTTGTTCAAACTACCCAGACAAAAAATGGTTTTGGATTTAGTAGTCCTCATCAGTTTGCCATACTTCTGAAACAAAAGGTCTCGTCTGCAAAATATCTTGAAAGGCAAAAGTTGCATGACATTGCCCTCTCCCGACAGGTGCCACAGCTAATTGACGACAGATTCAAATTCTCTACAAAAAATATCCGAGTTTAAAAATTTCATTTTGTGGATTTCAAATTTTGGAAATCAAAATTTCAAGTGTTTTTGCTGAAAAACTCCAAAAAACAAAATTTATCGCCAGTCATCATCTTATTCGCCATAAAATTCTGTAACTTTATCCGAATTTGACCGACCACGTATGTCTTCAAATAACCAAAACCCTCATATGGTAGCTTGAAAAAAGTGGCTTGAGTTATATTGAGATATATTAAACTTTTTGGCATTTATTTATATTTTAAAAGTGTGAAATAACTTGATTTAAATATTTTTGCATTGACCACAGTTTTTGCATACACTGCTTTATAACTGCTCACATTTCATTGAGGTTTCAGTAACATAGTAACCCATAACTGCATTATACATCTTAAATGGGCTTAAATCACACTTACATCATCATATAAAAAAATGTTTTTGTAAATAAAAATTTCAAAAACAAAACGATTCCAACAAAACAATCGCGAAAAACATTTAAATGACAATATGTGACTGTTCTTGTGATTTTGTTCGTTATAAGAGGTTTGGAGTGGTGTGTGGCGCTGATGGTTCTGTGAAATGTGCTTTTGCAGAAATCAAGGGTTTTACCTTTAAAATACGACACGTCAAAGGAATTTTAATTTCATTTCTGATGAAAAACAAAACGATTTACCTTAAAACCCTCGATTTTTTTTTGTCTACATTGTACTCTCAGGCCCTAAGAAAGAGAACGACTGGGGTACAGGTGCAGGTAATACGGGCTGGGGAGGAGACCCGCGATCTGCTGACCCACGTCAGGCCGGCATGGACCCCAGAGAGATTCGTCCCGAATTGAGGGATATGCGTGCCGCAAGTTCCGATCCCATGCGACTGTTGGACCCCCGTGAACAAATGAGGCAAATGGCTGGTAGCGATATGAGAGGAGACCCGAGAGGTATAACTTTAATTGACTTACTCTTTTTTTCTCTTAGGTGTTGATTTGTTATTCTTATACATTTGAAGTGATTCGTCTCGGCAGATGTCTTTGATACAGAAGAAGCTTCAGGATGCTGCTTTCAGTTTTTTTGTATGTTTTTTCCCCACTATCAAATTTCTACCTATTTAAAAAATAAATTATCGAGTACAATAATTGTAAAATAATGAGTTACAAAACCGTTTTAAAAAATACTGAGGCAAGAAAATTCATCATAACTTTTTTATTCGCAGTTTTTCGAAATTTTTAACCTTCAGTTTAAAAACCATTACAAATTTTTTGTTCCAAGGAGACTAACATTTCCCAAAAAAAAATAAGTATACTGTTTTTGGACATTATTTTACGAACATATTTTTTAAATGTTCTTTTTTACTTTTAACTTTGTTTTAAATCTATTTTTTTAAATTTGATTTTATTTATATATTTTTGTTATAAATTTTAAAACTTTATTTTAAATCAAATTTTGGACAAAAAAAATCATACTTTATATAATTAAAATTTATTCAACTGTGATTCTTTCCAAAATGACATATTTTTCGAATAAAATTGCAATAGTACATTGTGTAACGAGTGGGGAAAAGTTGCCAATAGCGCCTCACGGACGCAGTTAACGCATGAGCGAAGCGAGTGTGGAAAGCGCCCAAGTGGCGCTATGGCAACTTTTCCGAACGGGTTGCACATACTATTTTCTATCACAAGTGCAAGTCGTTATGGGACCTATAGCATAGGGGGTTAGGTGCACGGAATGTGCTAGATAGTACAACAGCGTGACGTTATTTTCATAGCGCAACGCTGGAGTGTTGCGCTATGAAAATAACATCACACTGTTGTACTATCTAGCACTTTCCGTGCACCTAACCCCCTACACTATAGGTCCCATAGCGAGCGCGCGTGATAGAAATGTCTTTTCTATTATATGTACATTTGGCCAACAACATACTTTAATTATTTTTGTCCTGAAACAATTTTATTATATTGGTGGTAAATTTTGTTTTATTCTGTTTCAAAATGTCTCCAAAGTGCCATGTTAGTCAACAAAATATCCCTCTTATTTCTCCGTTTCGCAATTGTAATATGAATGATTGATAGAAGGTGCCTATAATAAATTAAAATTACCTGAATCACACCAAATTGGCGCTATTGGCAACTTTTCCCCACTCGTTACGCAATGTACTATTATATTTAAAATTTCTCAAATGAATCAATTTGGCCAAAGTGTAGGCTAGTTGCGGTGCTGAAAAAGTTTTGTCATTTGAGATGAGTTTTTTTAGCGATACAGTGCAGGCCATTAACATAACTGCAGATGTTCAAATATTTTTTTATAAAACAAACTATATTTGGCAATTATAACTTCTTCAGAATTGTAACTCACAAGTTTCTTATGATTTTTTACGCACCAAATAATATATGCTCCTTAAAAAGTGATCAAACCAATTTCTATGATTTATTCACTTATAAATTGCACAGACAAATTTTAAAATGTAGCAGTTTGTGGTATCAATTTCAACTTTTTATTTAGTTTATTTAGTTTTTATTCGTTTTCTCATTCGTCTTAAAAATAATTTATTTTGCATTAAAAAATCTAAATATGCGTAAATCTTAAAAAAGACTGTTATTTTGATTAACATGTCAATAGGTGTGTTGATAAATAAAACATTATTTTCGGTGATATTTCGTGCAGTTAAAGTATAATTCTCGTTTTATTAAATCCTCTATCCTTGTGTCTGTGTATTTGTTTCTGTGATAATATTCAAGGCTGAAAATGTCACGACCTTTAGAAATATCTTTGTACATGTTGAGTGTTACCTAAGAGCTAAAGAATCATTTCAAATGTTTAAAAAAAAAACTAAGCAAATATAAATTTTACGTCCAAAATACCGTAGCCGGTTCAATTAAAAAAAAAAATCAAAATATAGGTACATCAATTGGTATTGTTAATTTCAATGTCAGCAGATCGCTGGTACCAAATATTTGATGACCAATTGAGAAAAATGTAAGTAGATGATGTGGATTTTGTTTTCTTTTTTTTTTTGTGTTTATTCATTATCATCCCATCATTATTCTTACAGCTTGCTCTAATTAATCGCATTGTTTGAGGAAATTTTTGTTAAAATAACGAGCGTTCAAATAAAAACGTGATCGAAGTTGGCTGTGACACATTGGACGTAGGGAGTAGCTTATAGCGACCAACTTAACCTTATTTCTCAACGAGCTGTATAGCAGCTGTCAGTTTCAATAACGTTAATGACTATATAACTTTATTTTAAAGAATAATCGTGATAACAATAAGAAACAATTAAAGGAGCTGCGGAAAGTGTCCCCCTCCTTGTTATAACAATAAATTAAAGCAGCTGCTGAAAGTGTCCCCCTCCTTGTTCCAAGCACTTTTCACACCTGTTCCTCAAAGAATTAAAGACATTTTCTAAGATGCTCGGGGTATTGTTAATTTCACGAATCTTGTCTATAAGTCGAGCCTGCAGATGGTTTAAATCAGGAATAGGCAGTTCAAAAATAGTGTTTTTAAGGTAAGGCCACAAAAAGAATTCACACGGCGTAATATCATATGACCTCGGTGGAAATTCATGTTCAGCATTGAGACTTATTAGTCGATTTTGGAAAACTTCCCTCAACATATTCATCGTCTCGCCTGCCGTATGTGCCCTTGCGCCATATTGTTGAAAGTAAAAGTTTGTAATTTCGTTTTCTTCCAGCTGGTTAACAAAAGGAGCGATAATTTCTTCTCTATACCTTTGCGCAGTAAGAGTACCATTAAAAAAAATAGGTCCATAAATCCTCCTTCGATTGAGAGCACACCAAACTCCAATTTTTTGAGCGTGTAGAGGGCCCTCGACAAAAAAGTTATCTGGTTTTTCAGAAGACCACATTCTCATATTCTGTGAGTTTACGTAACCACTTAAATGAAACCAGGCTTCATCAGAAAAAAAGGTGATATTATGAAGTTCACCGTAGTTGTTTAAAAACCATTCACAAAATACAGCCCGTCGCGGAAAATCAACTTCATGAAGTTCTTGCTGACAAGTTAAACGATAGGAGAACAAACGCAAATCTTTTTTTAACACTGTGTGGCAGGTACCGACTGATACTCCCACCATTTGTGATAAAACACGTACATAAGTTCTTGGCGCATTTTCCATTATTTGTTGGACATTTTCTTTTAATTCTTCAGTCCGCTTTTTAGGTCGGCCGCTTCCTTCTTTTCTTGTTACACTGCCCGTTTCACGAAAAACATTAACACAACGCTGAACTGCACCTTGAAAAATTTTGTACTCAACAACGCCGGGAAATTGATTTGGAAATTCTATGAAACATTCCTCAATAGAATACTTCCATATTCCATCAATCTTGCGTCCATTTCTAAAGTAGGACTCTAGGATAAACACTTTGTTCTTGAGAAAACACCATTTTAAATGCTTTTTAAAACGAAAATATTCAAATTGATAGCGGCGATATAGCGCTTTGACAGATGACGTTTAAGTTCATTTGCTATACGCTACGCCCTACGTCCAAATTTTCAGAACCAACTACCACGTTTTTATTTGAACGCTGTTACATATTTTAGTTATTATAATATCGCGTACTATATGTCCATATCTGGATATATTTTATTAGTGCCTCTGGAGTTACACCAAAAAAAAATCAAATCAATAAAAAAAATTAATTTAAAAATTTTATTTTTGAAAAAACAATTGCATGGTATGACATTTTTGGACAGCCACATATACAACTATAATCGGATTCTATTAATATTACGGAAGAATTATTTTCAGAAACGTTATGTAATAAAATATTCCAAGTATTAAAATATTTTGGTAAAAAATTTGGGCAAATTCAAAAATTGAAGTTTTCTCCACAGGAATCACCGGCCGATTAAACGGGGCTGGTGCGGAAGCCTTCTGGGGTCAGAGCGCGCCACACACTAGCGCCCAGCAGATGCACCACCACAGCAAGATGCCTGTCGGTCCAGGAAATGGTGCTGGGTGGGAAGAACCTTCCCCGCCTTCCCAAAGACGTAACATGCCTAATTACGATGACGGCACTTCACTGTGGGGTAACCCGCAACAAGGTAAGAGCTTCAGAATTTTTTTTTCACTGGCAGGCACCTCTGATTCAGTTAAATCGGCACTGAGACAATGGCTTTTTAACAGTAGTTTCTTTTCTGTTTTTTTGACAAAAGGAAATTATTTTCTCTTGCAAGGTACTACAAAAAATAGTAGGTCATGCTGTTAACCACAGATTCTTTGTATGAAAATAATTTTGTCGAATGGATGGGATTACTGCTTCTCGTTCACAATTCTTTTAAAATTGAGATTTTTGTGAGGAAATTCAAAAGATATTTCTTTTAGGAGATCAACATTTATTTGATATTGCTAAACATTAATAAAAACGATAAATTTTTGTCAATTATAAATGTGGTTTTATAAAAGTTTTTTTTGTTTTATTTTTCAACAAATTTATGCGTACAATCAGAAAATAACTACTATATTATGCACAATATGACTATCTGATGCAAGGAAGAATAATCCTGCATGAGAGTGTAAAATTATACGTGAACAGAAAAAATATTTTCGATTATATAGCACACGTATGATATACATGGAAACCGTTCTTTCTATATATACAGGGTGATTCAGAACTTATCCAAAAAAAATTGTTGGATGCAGAGGGGACTTACAAATACAATTTTGTAAAGAAAAAATTAAAAAGTGCAGTTCGAAAATTATTTAAAAATACACTTCTGCACGACACTGGAAACTGGTCTACTGTAAAACCTGACCTCGCAAAATGCGACTGGTATGGCGGCAGTGTGATAAAAACTTGAAAGAATTTCGCAAGGAAAGAAATAAATACAATTTTATAGCACTTATTTTATTTCGGCAAACTCGACTGCTTTTGCCGCTATTGTTATTATTAATTAATAAAATTAATTTGTGGTTTTAAATACTAAATTAATTTGACATACCTGATGTTACATATGTTCAAAATTTTACTCAGTTTCTACAAACTAACATAAATGTTGTCTTACTTCACCATATCACAAATGTTTCTCCATAATACAAAATGTTATCTTGCTTCACCATAAATTAAAACGATATCCATCAACTCCGAGTTGCTGTACGTGCAAGCCATTTTTGACACTAATTACTAAACATCTATTGTAAACACTAACCCAATGACGATTGTAAAATCGGATATCAGTATTTGGAGATGCTGAGGCAACGTGGCTCTCCACGCGTATTGCGAATGACGCTAGAGACTACAGTTGTCCAGCTATGTAATGGTTAAATGTACTATAACTTCAATTATTTTTTTCTCGAAAACAGGATTTTACAGAAATTTTTTTTAAGATATGTACTCCATTTCTCATGCCGCATCTATTCCCAAATTTTTTTGTGGATGGAGGAAGAGTTGTAGTAGCCATTAAGTTTTTCCCAAATTTTTCCTTTTCAAACATATCGGGTTTAATTTTTGTTTAGTGTGATTTATCAGATATTGCAACATTGATAAGAACTTACTTTAAAAATGAGAAATAAAATAAAATTGTGTTTGGAAATAGTGATTTTGACAAGTTTTGATTAATATCCTCAGAATCTCTTAATTGATTTAATCTAATTTTAGGATTTTGGATTACGTAATTTAAAATCACGACTAGAAAGGTCAGCAAACTCCGCTGACGCGGAGTTGACCTTTCTCTTGGGCCGCGCTGCGCGCATCGTGGGCACCGCTGTGCAGTGCTTTCCTCGCTGATTGGTAAATGTAACATTTTTTGGAACACCCTGTATATAAAAGTCATCAACATCACAACTTCATAATTATCTCTGGACTGTTCGAAGTTCAACGCAATTTGAAAAGTTATATTTTCTTATGGAAAGATATAAAAATAAAGGGAAAATACGGCAATAAGTAAAAAAAAATCATAGGGATCCTGTGCGAGATTCGAACTGTCGACCTCCGGGTTGCAACGCGACATTTTTACCTGTGCCATCATTACCTCTAGATAGAGTTTGTCCGTATTAGTATTTGAATTCCTGTTCATAGCCAAAGTAAACAAACATTTTCATAATGTTTAAAATTTCATTTTTCTGCCATAAAATTGTCTGCGAAGGACTCGGAACGGGATAAAACATAAAAATAATCGCCCATCGCCGTACGTCAGAATCGGAAAATTCAATTTTGACAATTTTGTAGTTTTTACCTAAATATGACTCCGCGGAAATTGCGTTTTGGGCGAAATAATCTGGGCCTTACGAAAATATTGTGGTTCCGCGAGAGAGACGCAAGGTGCAGAACCTTTTTAAAAAGCAAATTTCGGCGTTAAAAAGTAAAAAATATCTTGAAAACGTCCCGTGAAGACGAAGAAAGGATGAAACTCGCGCATAGAAGCCGAGTAAACCCTCGATGGGTCCTTGGAAAAAAGCATGTAGCATTTGAAATTGACCTTCAAAACGTCTGTCAGTGGGCGTTCCCGTCGGGTTCTGTCTCCCACAGCGAAAATTTGCGTTTTTTGCCGCGGGGCCCCCGGAAAAGAGAAATTTCATTCGGCAGACATTAATAAATCGCCTTCAAAATATGTCAAATGGATAAAGAAAGCTGCATGGCTTGCGAAGAAAGCCTTAATGTATGCAAAATGCCCCTTTTTCGAGATCTGTGCGGGAGGGAATATCACCTGCAGCAATTAATATTTTAAAATCACGATTGAAAGTTGGCTGCGTTCCAAAAACAAGACAAGTATAAAACATCAATATAAATAATTAAATGTTTAACATGTCTGCCCCCTCTGTGAATGCACACTTCTTTTTTTTAACGAGAGAAAATTGGATATCGTGAAAAGTGTTCAGTTTTAGTCTTTTAGTTCATTTCCAAATTCTCATATTAAAACCATGTATTTTGTATTAGGAATACTTGTGGAAAAAAAAAAGAATTTCATCCAAGGAAAAAATTAGAAAGTTAACTATAATTAGTGTGTATACAAATCTTAAGAAGTTGCAATGTCTTGTAAACCAACCAAATTCAGTTTTATAAGAATAAAAGAAAAAATAGGAACTATAAAATACTAGATTTACAGAAAAATACTGAAATAGTTATTAATGTGCACAAAAAATATCGTAGCATAGAAGTCTGCAAAATTTCATCTGTCTTGAAAAAACAATTTTTTTTTTAACTAACTAGAAAATATCTTTAAATGGAGGTATTTAAATGATAGATGTCTTCGTGAAATTCCATTATTTTCGCTCAAAAAATTTGTGGTTAACGATTTATCTTACTTTTTTGTAACGCTTTGTATAACATTGTACAGGTATACCGTAAATACAAGATAATTTGACAAACTATCTTGACAGATTGACTGAAAATTATTTCTGAAGGGCATACAAAAATTGATCTCATCGTAATATTCATTTTATTCAGTCGCACATTTCATTTTCATTCTACCATTGTACCATTGATGTAACATGCTGGTCTTGTCAAGGTATATTTGGCAGATTACAGATGATATTATGTGAATTTTTTCCAAATGTGTGTAGTGAAAAATTATTTCTTTCAATAAAATGCTTAACGATAGTGTTTTGGGACAGATACGTTATGTATTTGTCTATTTGCAATTTTACTCTTTTTTTTTTCTTTTCTTTTTGATTTTCGACAGACTTATATACATTTGGCACAAATTTATTATAATATGCACTAGGCTCTCATTGGAAAGATCTACCAACAGGGGCAAGCATGGGACGCGGTAATGCTGCCGTGCCTCCCGGAATGGCCCAAGCTCGCATGAAACCCGACGGATCAGTCTGGGGACACGGACGTAACGGTTCCTGGGACGAAGTGGGGCCCGGTACCGGCTGGGAAGAGACGGGACCTTGGACAAAACAAAAGATGCCAGGGCCGCTGTGGGACACCGATCTTGATTGGGGCCACAAACAGCCCAACAAGCCGCAGCTGACTAAGGAGATTGTCTGGAATTCTAAGCAATTTAGAATGCTCGTCGATATGGGATACAAGGTAAGGGATGACGATTCCAAATTAAAAGAAACTTAGATTTGTTCGATATTCATATTGGAACATGCAATTTGAACGTTTCAGAAGGAGGAAGTGGAAAACGCACTCCGCATGCGTGAGATGAACATGGAAGAGGCCCTAGACGTTCTCAGCCCCATGCGGAACAACCGCGACGGTTGGGCTAGTCGTCATGACGATCATTACGATCACCCACCTTTCGCCGGACAGAGGTTCCCACCAGGTCCGGCGGCTCAAATTCCGGGCTTCCCGCCGGGCGGTAACGCCCCGAATCTTCTCGGTAACATGAGCAACGCCGGAAACAATTCTCTGATCAACAACATATCCCCCAACGTGGTACAGAAGATGCTTACTCAAACGGGGGGATCTCAAGGTTTCGGTGGGTCTTCTGCTACGACCGGCAGGAGTCTCCAGCCCCCATCTCAGCCTTCCACGCAGCAGCTTAGGATGTTGGTGCAACAAATCCAGATGGCAGTGCAGGCCGGATATCTCAATCACCAGGTGGGCGCAACAGATTTCAGCTGTACTTTTAAATTCCACCTTTTTCATTTAAAAATTGTTACTAATATTTCGGTTCTTAGATTCTCAATCAACCGTTGGCACCGCAAACTTTGGTGCTTCTGAATCAGCTCCTACAACAGATCAAAACTCTGCAGCAGCTAATCAATCAACAGACGATTGCCTCCGCTCACGCGATAAACGGCAAACCTAACAATGCCTTCATGCAGTGTTCCGTACTCATCACAAAGACTAAGCAGCAAATACAAAATCTACAGGTAAAAACCTTCATTTCAACGAACTCCTTCTGACGTTTTCATCTCAACCGTCCCTTTTTGTCCACAGAATCAAATCGCTGCTCAACAAGCAGTATACGTAAAACAGCAGCACCAAAGCAATATGGGTGGCGCCTACGATACGTTCAAATCAAACGCGATGCACGACTCGATAAATGCCTTGCAGACTAATTTTGCAGATATCGGTATTAACAAGGATCCACAAGTGGTAAGTTTACGAATTTGAGACGTGATCATGCCGACGTAATGGTTTCCCCCTTTCTTTTTTTTTTTGAGAATCAGCAACAATCAAGACTTAACCAATGGATAAATAAAGACAAAGAAGAAGGGGGCGAATTCTGTAGGGCCCCCGGGTCTTCATCCAAGCCCATGGCTACTTCTCCAAATATGAATCCTCTCGGTCTCAATCCGACAGATGGGTAAGTGTAATAGACAATATTTAGAAAAAAATTTCGATACTGGTTCCGAGTTCTTCGTTTTTTTGCTGAGAATATGGTTCAGTGAACAAGCTAAAAATAAAAAAAAATCAAAAATTTTTTTTTGCAAAAAATATTTCTTATTAATGAAGAAATGTTATTTCTTTTAAAGTTTTGTTCTTATTGCAAGTGTTGCTCATTGTGTTATTGGCTTCGTTTATTTTTTTAAATCAATCCTTTAGTTCGTTTTTTGTTTCTTTTTACAAATTTTCCTTTCTTGTGTCATTGGATTTATGCTCGATAAAGTCTTCTGGATTTTTTAATTTATTAATCAGAATATTCTTAATATTTCGTCCACTGAATAAATAGAACAAAAATCTGTTCATAATAAAAAAACGTATATTTAAAATTTTTTATACTCTTGGTTTACTTTTTTTTATATATAAAAACTCTTTTCTTAGTTTGCTGGTAGGAATATTTCAATTAAGGGGGGAAATGGTCAAAAAATTCCATTATTTTTTTTTTTCTTAAAGCAAATTTATCGTAGAATTCGCATGTAAAATTTTAAAATTAAATTCAAAGTCCTTGTATTTATTTTTGTCCTTTTTCGAAAATAGAGCGTAGTACATATTTCGGCGTTATCGACTCGAGGAACGATTTGTCTATTGTGCCTTGTTTTGAAATACCCAGGGACAGATTTATTTATAAGCGTCAGTATATGCCTACAGAGGGAGCGCGCATCGACGCTGAAATTCATGTGTGTTAGTATAGCGTTATCGCTCGACGTAAACAGGTGATTTCAGTAGTTGAAACTTTAAATGTGATTTTCCCAAAACAGCATTTTTAAAGCTTGTGTTGATGATATCTTAAAAGCAGTTTGACCGATTCAGCTGAAACTTCTTTATGACATCAGTTAAACTAAAAAAAAAACTGATAAGTTTCCAAAATGGGAACTTTCCAGGAAGGGAAGAATCCTGCTTCAGGGCGCATTGCCATATTTTGAATTTTCCTCCAAATTATAACTACATGACCACCTTAGCAATCGTTGTTTTGAAGTTATCTGTTAAAGGCATTTTCCATTTTTGTATTTTTTTGTGTATCAATGCATCATTAGTGTATTTAAAAAAAATATCTCCCTGGGAATTTCCCATCTCTAGAATTTTGTATTGCAAAACTCGATAATTACTGCAAAAATTTTGGAAAATTGTAAATTTTTTCGAAAAACTGCAAAACAAAATTTTTCTTACTTTTTTTAATTTAGCAACTAATTGTAACTGTTTTTTACATAATTTTTGTTTGCGGGCTTTTACAGTTCAAAATAACGACGTCCAAGATCAACACAACGGATTCCTATAGATCCGTTTTGTAATAACGTATATCCATTATCCACCATTTTGTTTGAAAATAAAAAAATAATTTATATGCCTCAATGCCCTCTTAACAAGACTACAAAATTTCATGATTTCTTGAAAAATACTTTTTTTCAACGTCTAATCGTTATCTCCCATCTTAAACCTAAAAAAAAATTCTTAATGAGTTTTATTACAAATTTTCCTCTTATTGTATTCTTGGACTTGTCTGGAAGAACGACCTTCTATGTTTTTTGCTTTGTTTTGTTTCTTTTTTTTGTTTTGTTTCTTTTTTTTGTTTTAACAAAAATTAATTTAGTTTTGTCGAACAAATGTTTCTTTTTTTTTTTTGTTCTCAGTGTGTTTTCCATAAGAATAGTTCTCTATACCTTTAGCTCTGTTTTATTAGTGAAAATATTAGTAATATTGAATTCAGTAAACAGGAGAACTTTACTTTTTGTTTTGTATTACTGATATTGTTCCTAATATTTGATTCATTGAACAAAACGATATTCTGTACTCATTAAAAAATTTTGAATGTACAGTATAGACTCTTTAATCCGAACTCACTTTATTCCGAATATCCACTAATCCGGCCCGACAACCCGACGAATGCCCATTTCGATGGTCTGAACAAAACTCTTTAATTCGAACAAAATTTGGTTTAACTTATATAGTTCGAATATAAAGTCAGACTCCATAATAAAAAGTAACCGCTTAAAACGTAATTCCCCGGCAGTCTCGGGGAAACCCTTTTATGTGAGTCAGAACCATTCTCGATTAGACCTTTTTAGTTGAAGTATTATTGCCGTGGCGATATTTATACGACATGTTTTACGATAATGTTTGGTTTTATTGTTATTTTTTACCTTCGCAGTAATACATAAAATCTAATTCATATTATATGTATGTACATAAACATATTTACATATGTACATACTTACTACCCAGTAATCCGAAAATATTGATAATTCGAACTTATCTCTTTAAGATCGTGTTTTAATTTGTTCAGATTAAAGAGTTTATACTGTATTTTGTTTACGGCGTTTCTCTTTATTTTGTTTTTATTTTCGTCCTATAGGAATTACCCTCTATTTCTTGTTTTATTTTAGTGAGAACACTGGTAATTTGTCCAGAGAACAAACGTGGGAGCCCAATTTTGTTCTTCACCTAATTTTTTTCCTTTGCACTTTTGTTTCTATATATAAATTAGAATAACTAAAAGGTAACCGATACATAAAAAATTCTATGATTATTACAATGGATCCAATTTATGAGAAAACGTTGATTATCTCTGATAGTGGGAATGAGAATTTTCGATAAAAAGAATAAGTTTCTTTTGCTGACATTCGTACTATTTTGTTTTCATGAGGTTGGTTAACAATTGTTTCAGACCATGGTCCAGCAGAAGGACTGGAGACACCGGCTGGCCAGATTCTGGCGGAGGCGACTCCTCCAACGACGTGAAAGACGCACAGTGGTCGACCACCGCTCAACCATCCTTGACTGATCTAGTACCTGAATTTGAACCTGGAAAACCCTGGAAGGTAGGATTAGTTTATTGCTATCACGGTTTGGCTGTATTCTCTTGCTTATCTTTCAGGGTAATCAGATAAAATCGATCGAAGATGACCCCAGTATTACACCCGGTTCGGTGGTGCGTTCACCTCTGTCTATTGCCACAATCAAAGATAACGAATTGTTCAGCATGAATCCCAGCAAGAGCCCCCCGGCGACCGACGGCATTCAACCGTTGAGCCTCAGCTCATCGACTTGGAGCTTCAACCCACCTTCTTCTACTACTTCGAGCACCTTCACAACGTAAGTTTTTTTAATAGAATGAAATTTATTTTTTTCTTCCTTTCTTGACAATATCGGTTAGATATATGTCGTTATGTGGAAATCAAGGTTAAAACTCGATGATTATTACCATGGATCCAATTTATGAGAAATAGTGATTATCACAGATAATCTCGATGAGAGTTTTAAGATTTTCTTGTTTTCTAAGGAATAAATTTTGCTGTGAATATAATGGTGCAAATGAACTACTGTCGATTCGGTTGAGTGGGTTATGATTATGTACTACACTTTTCCAAATGTATTAAAAAGAAAAAGATATACTAACAGAAATAGAGTGATTGTGTTTTCAAAAACAGGAGATTTAGGAAAACTTTAAATATAAAGTTTATTTACTGTAAGCGTCTAAAAATTGGTAATTTTACCAAAAATCTATACATAAAATTGTTCAAATTTGCCATCATCAGTTTGGTGCGAGCATAGTCTTGCTTAGCGTAATCATGGGTCACTACACGCTACAAAAATAAAATTTGTCAATGAACAACCTTGGAGCATTTTTTATTCGATGTTTTGAGTTTTTTAAATGATTCCACAGCAAAAATTATAAAATCATAAGTTTGCCTAGTACCTATTTCAATAAGCTAATTGTTAGTTACATTAGGTCACTACCAGGGTAAACTTTTATATATTTCTGTTTTAAGGATTTTTGTTGTTTGAGTTTATGAAATCGTTTGTATGTATAGCATTTGCTAAATAAATGTGTATCTATCTATCTATCTATCTATCTATCTATCTATCTATCTATCTATCTATCTATCTATCTATCTACCTATTGTTGAGTTAAATTTGAGCCAATTTGGGTGGTACAAACCTTCCCGCATGTTCTCATTTTTGCTTCTTTAAAACCCCCTTTTCATGATACTTTTGAACTAATATTTCCAGTGATAAACGAGATGCTGCATCTGCATTCCGTTGACACTCCCTGTAATTAAAAATCGTGGCTACAAATCCACTGTTGCATATACACTTGCCAGGGGTATATTTTATAAAATTTTGATTAATATCGGGTCATTAAAATCATTTTTTTTTTGTAATACACGTTCAAAACGAAGGATGCATAAATGTGAATTATTTATATATATTATTTTGACTTAATATATATTTTTTTTGTAGTCCTGGCAAATTGCCCACCAGCAAGGGTGGTCTAGTAGATTTAAACCCCACTACTGCCGTTACTTCAGAACTGTGGGGAGCCCCGAAATCTTCTCGTGGCCCACCGCCAGGCCTTTCGGCCAAAGGAGGCTCCCTCGTCAACGGATGGTCCGGCAATTTGGGCAATTCCGTTCCGTGGGGTGCTGGCCAGAGGAGCTCGGGCAGCTGGGGCGGATCCTCTCCCTGGTTACTGCTAAGGAATCTGACAGCTCAGGTAGGTCTAATGAATCTCGTTCCTCATGATGGTAAGCAAATAAACCTTATCATTATATATAGAGTGTTAAATACGTCAACAAATTTACAGGGTGATTCTTCGAGGGATATTATTCTAGAAAGGTTATAATAAACATGAGGCTGCAAATTGATAGTTTTTGAGATACAGGGTGATGAAATTTTAAAAAAAATCCTAAAATATCTCTGAAAAGGTTTTATTTGCAGAATGACATGTATTAACACACTTATAATAAATCCCGAGTCTAATTCGGGGATGTATAGCAAAAACCCCATGAATTATTTTATTCCCAGATGTGACTCGCACGTGTGCAAAACGGAACATCTTGCAATCCCGAGTCGCATGCGGGCAGAAGCATGAAGGGGTTAAAGTCACTCAAAAGATCACCTTTTAAAGTACGTCGACATACCTAACACCCTAATCCAATGCCATTTTCAGATTGATGGGTCTACTTTACGCACATTGTGCATGCAACATGGTCCATTACAAAGTTTCCATCTCTACCTTCATCAGGGTTTCGCTCTTGCCAAATACTCAACCCTTGAGGAAGCTACCAAAGTGAGTCTTTTTGTCTTTTTTTATATTGCGTGTAAGTTTTTAGAAATGAATGTGTTCATTCATTTATTCCACGGCTATTGAATTTGTAACAAACGGTGAGGTTTTTCGTATAAAATCGCGAAAGATCTCGACAAGAATCGGAGAATTAGAGCAACTTTCTGTAGAAAAAAGCATTTATTATCGAACTTGAAATATTAAACTGTATATTAGTGCTTTAAGGGAGATAGCCACTGTGATGGCCGAAAAAGTGAGCGATTTTTGTGAATTTTTTTTTTGACCAGGAAAATTAAGGAATATAGGGGTCGAATTTTTTTTATTTTATTAAGTGTATATTCAACTTGGTTCATGTAAATCTTTATTAAAAGGTATTAAATTGTTACAAAGTTATGAGCCTTACCGTAAACCCTTAAAAAAATCCCCCTGCACAGTCGCATCGATTTTCCAAAAACTGGTTATCTGAAAAAAAGGAATCAAATTGCATTAGAAAAAAATTACCAAAAATAATGAATTTACATTTAAATAAATGTACCAAAAAAAAAGTAAAAACGTAAAAAAAAAGAAAATTGCTAAGAAATTTATATTTTCTTGGTACCACAATATTGCAATAAAAATCTAGGTTCACAGTGAAATTCTTTGCATTCTTTTTGTCATCTTTAAGTTTGCACAGCTTTATAAAAATTGTAAAAATAAAAATAGTCTCGGTTATATATTCTTTATAAAAGTGAAAAATCTGAAAACAAAATTTATTTAACATTACAGAAAACTGTTAAAAGTGAAAAATATCCGATTTATCTTAAAAAAAATCTAGATGTGTGGTTTTCACTAATCAATTTTTCTCGAAAATTGAACCCAGGACGTCTTACTTTTGTTTATATCCTCCAGAAATATAAGAAACCTTTCAAAAGGATCAAAATTGATTCTGTTTGCACATGAATTTTATAAAATGATTTTTATATAGCAAATTCAATGGTATGAAAAGGGCCAATTGCATTATTCAATCTTTCATTTATGAAAAATTAACAAAAGTGACTGCAACCCAACATTGTACGACTGGTGCTGGTAACGAAAAATCCCTAAGGCCGCTTGTAAATGACGGTTTCTTAGCTGTTTGTAAGCCCGATGAATACACCATAGATCATACGGTCGATCGGGGAATATTGATTGTTATAGAAGTATGTTAACACACCGTGTGACCGCACGGTGACTGGCTGGTCACCGTGTACGCATCGGTTTCCCTCGATGGGGCCTGGTCTACGCAGGGTAGGGAAATGGTCGGTGGGCTGTAGTAGCTTATGAGAGCATGTTGACTGCACCGGGTTTGCGACTGGTATTAAACAGCATAGGTGTAGAGAGAACATTGAAAACCTGAGAATATATTGTCTTTGTGTACAAGGATGCACGTTTTTTCCCTAACCCGATGAATTCACCTGCCCGATGAAAAGTCGTGGCCTAAATCTTGGCATCACCAATATTAATGATTCGTTTACAATGAACAATGACAAACCGTTACGTCTACGCTCAAGATAATGCTATTGCTGATTGGTTGAATAGAAGTTTGCGAAAAATTACACCAATCATAGCTGGTGAAACAGAATGTTGTGTTTTAATGTAACCTTGATCTTATTATTTTAATCATTTTTAATTTTACCAAAATTCAGTTGCCAACACAAACGAAATAAAATTACTGTTCCAAACAAAATGATTGGTTGTAATCATTTATGTAGGATCTGTAAAAAAAGCAACATATTGTTTTTTATTACGAATGAATTTTATATGGACGAAAAATTTGAATTCTATTCCTAAATATTTATTTGTGGTGGCGGAGGACATTGACCGAACATTTTAATTTCAGGCTCAAACTGCCTTGAATAACTGTGTTTTGGGTAACACTACTATCTTAGCTGAGAACCCGACCGACTGGGACGCTAGCACCCTCCTACAGCAAGTCGCTAGTCAACAGAGCGGCTCGTCCGGAGCATGGAGAGGCTCCAGCAAACAGCCCGCAGGGGCCGACACCTGGAGCACAGGTTGGCCCAATAACGCGACAACAGCTAGTCTGTGGGCCACGCCCGCCTTAGACACGGCTGACCCGGCGAGGGGCACTCCATCCAGCCTAAATTCTTTTCTTCCCAACGACTTGCTAGGCGGTGAGTCCATGTAAATTGATATATACCAAAACATTAATTTCAAGTGTTGATAACTTTACAATCTGATCAAAAGTTTTTATTATACGTTTTTAATGTTTTTATGAATGCTATTAAACAAATAAGGATAATTGTCTATAAAAAATTGATTGATGATATTTATTGTATTATTTAACTTTTTTTTTTATTGTTACATATTTGTAAATGTATTTCTATTTTAATTTTTATGGTGATTTAATAGTTGTTGTTTTAAGAATATGTTTTGTTTATTTCTAGTTATTATCATTAACGTAAATGGAGTTCTGCAAATGTACACGATTATATTAGTTTGAAATTTTGAGATCGATAATTTTTTTTTTTTTTTTTCAATTGTTTGAAGTTGCCATTTAATTTGTGTGTATATTTGTGGGTCCGTCTCCTAAAACTGAAAAAAAAACATATTGTAGTATTAACGATGAAACTTAATCAGAAACTGTTGTGTCAACACTTAGTAATTCCGATTCGATACGATGACTGTGAGGCGTTTATAGTTTTCCATTGGTACCACGCTCAAGTTATTAACGCACTTAATGTGACATCTAAAACGTAACCCAACTAGTCCCTATCAGCAAGATTTAAAATATATGATATATATAAATTATATATATATGTATATGCGACCGACCAAACTCATTATTAGTTCGCGTATTTAATTTAAGTATGTATAAATTCGTTCTCTCATATTAGATATTTTCCTATATATTAACAATAAGTATATTAACGTTGTTTTAATGATTTAACGTACCTAAGTTGTTTGTATGTGTTTGTTTCCCAGTGTGGTATGTCCGTTCATTACACATATCCGAGTGTTCAATTCCTCCGTTGGATCGGTTCGATTCTTTGACGCAAAACGTTTTTCTTGTGGATATGTGTCGTGAAGGCGGAACTTGTTAACCCCACATAACCTGTGATCTCTGATTCCTTATATATCATATAAAATTACACATACAAAAAAAAAAAAGAATTAATCGTTTATGTAATGTTGTTATGAATAAAAAGCGGTTTCGAAAAATAATTTGGAAGTCCGCTGGAATAACACCACACAATCAGTTTTAGACTGCACGCTGTATGAGTATTTCTTAAATAAATTTAGTAATAACCACAATATAATAATAGCGGATAATATATATCGTTCTAATTATTAAAGTTTATCATATTACTGTTTTCTGTGTACTGTATGTTAGCCATAGATCTTTTGGATATGTTATTATTAGTCCATAAACTGTGATTACTGTTCTAACGGGCATAGGCCCGGTCGGAACGTACAATCACGTCGTGTTATCGTGGTGTTCATAAGATATCGATTCTTCTATAGCTAACAGTGTATGAGTGAGAAAACGAATGGATTTCAAATAACTGGCATCTTTTTAATGTGTAAACGGGCATCGCAATACACCAGCAAATGGAGATATCTAGATTAAGTTGTAATATTTATTATGTTGACGTGTTAGCTTTACAGAATCAGCGGTGGGTTCTTAAACACACAGGGTGAACAAAAAACTGATTTACAGACAGGCACTTACTAGCGAACAGCGGAGAACTTTGCTCGAGAGACAGCCGTCGCCATCAAAATTAATTTTTCAGTCGGTGCTTTTCGTTAAAGTATTTTTCTAGTCGTTTTTTTAATCTAATTTATACATACTATTTCCATTTGCGGCTTTTTATTCTTAACAGAACTAGTTGAAAAAGAAGACTGAAAAAACTAGAGAGATCTTAACAATTTTATTATTAATGACGATGCATTTATTATAATTTTTTGTTTTTTGTTTTAATTAAAAATTGATGCCTGTTCTTCATATTAAATTTGAAATGCCTCTTCCTAAGGTGCCAAATTTCATAATTGAAATGTACCGCATGAAATTGTGTAGTCAATTTTGTACACATAGCTTCTAAATTACATATAAGTATTGAAAATACCGTAGGAAATTGAACGTTTCTCTTACGTACGTGTTTTAGTTAGAAATTTGGTAGCTTCTGGGATATTTTGCGGGTTTGACGTGTTGATTAACAGTTTTTAAGTACACAACTGTGCTGTGACTCTTAAGTGGCTTTTTAATTTTTAAAAATAAAATTGAAAAAAAAAAAATAAACAAAAAAACGTTTTGTTCGAAAAAGCTCTTGTTCTAAAAGCTTGATGGCTTTTAAAGTGGTCGTGGTATATCAAGTTATACTCGTACTTCCGTTCGGTAACGGAGCCCTTTACTTTAACTAAGTCATATCGTATTAAAATATGGAACAATAAGGAAAATGACAAATATCAAATTACTATATTCTTACGGAATAGTTAGCTTGTTTCGAATTATTTGTAATCGTGGTATAACTTGATACATTTTCGAAAACGTAATAAATGGTGCAAAATAACAGGCTACTTTGGGAGGTACGGTCACTGCTTTAATTTAAAAAAAAAGACGCTTTATTTTGGACCTCTCGAACAGCCTACATGTTGTAAGTTCCAATAGAATTTCTAAATCTAGTATCTTATTGCCAATTTAAATTTAGTATAGTATATGTATAGTCTTTAGGTATTGATATTAAATTAGTATTTAAGAGTTTGGTAATAGGGGTATATTGTTTCATGTTGTGTGTTCTTATATTATCGACAACCACTCTGAATGTGAAAAAACAAAAAAAACGCCAATAAAACATGCGAGCAGCGTTTCGGTGCATTGAGTAAATAAGTGCAGCGTTTACTTTCCGATTTTTCCCTAGGTGTGTATCGCAAATATTGATATTAAAAAGAGAGAAAACAGAAGTTGCTAATATTTTTAATAGAGGACCTGTATTTTCTGCCATACTAGACAAACAAAGGCAATGATAGTGGTACAAGTCACCTAACAATTAGACTAAATACTTATAGTATAACCAGTACCAAAAGTTATAGAGAATTATTGTTTATTTAATGGAATTATTATAGGGTATTTTTTTGAATAAGGTGAATAATAGCTGTAAGTTTTAAAGAAAAATTGAAAAAAATACGAAATATTTAATTGCTAGGCAGTTGTATGTGTAATTTGAAATTATTAGAACCGGTTCATTCCGCACCATGCAATAGACTTAAAATAGCGGTGGAAACATTACCCTCAAATCGACGATGACTTATAGTACTGCAACTGCCAAAAGTGGTATTGTGATTTACTTACTAATTTAGCTATATATGAATATAATATAAAATGGAGTGTGCATTAAAGGTCGAACATTAAATGTTTAAGATCGCTCACTCAGAAACGGAGATATTAAACATTTATCGTTCAAAAAAATATTCTGTGTCTGATATTGTGTACCTTCAGAAAATTAGTCTTAGAGTTGTTTATTTAAAGAGAAAAAAAAATAAATCGAAAACCCAAAAAAAAGTAAAATATATTAGTTTAAGATGCTCAGCTTTTGAGGACATATTTAAAATAAAAATAGCACTAGTTTCTGCACAATAACTACTACACGTGGCCCGAATCAGGCTTACCGCAACATTTATATTGTCTGTACATAAAATTTGTTTGCTGAAGAGCAGCCTTTGCTGGAGAGCCTTTTAATTGAGGAACTTTGTAGGAGTTACCAGGTCCCAACTGAATATCCTCGCATTTCAAATATGTGAGATTCTAACATGGCATAAAGATTATTCATTTATTTATTTTGTTATATGACATGTATTTATGTGCAATAACGTCTGGAAATTTGAGTTTTTTTTAACTTTTTGTTTAAGCGATTAACTTTGAAGTTCTTACCGCAACGAAGAATGTAAATTGATTTTTTGTACAAGCAATATTCAGTCTCGTCGTCACGACTAATGTTTGTATCACATCTGGCACAAATTTATGTTTAACACATTTGACAAGACCCCGTCGGGACGGATCGGATAACCTAAACATAAACTTGTGTCGGATACGACTAAGTAAAATGTTATTCGTGCAGGCGAGACTCTCCAAGATGAATACGTAATAAAACAAACTAAAATTGATACCGATTCTTCAAACATGGATACAAAAGCGACGAGACGTAGAGAAAAGATTAGTATTTGATTTAGGTTTACAGTATTTGTGATCTAAGTGCCACTTGTGTTTTCAAGTATATTTAATCATTCGCCACTGAACTATATATAAAAATATATATCTTATATATTAATTAAATATTATATTATATGAACATTATATATGGTAAATAGATGGCATATCTGCCTTAGTATAGGGTAATTTTTGGTGTTCGGTAGGTGTAAGATTGTTTATTGAGCTTAAATCCTGAATTTAAGTAACTCGTGCAGAAGATCACAAGACTAACTAAACACCTTCCCCTTCTGTCATAGTCGCTTAGATTCTACAAATTAATGCGTTGGCAATATATAGAACACTTAAACAGATGACTGGCTGTTTGTTATAACATTAATTTAAGACTTTTAAAATGCCAAAGTTTGACTATGTGTTATTTACAAAAAAAAAAAGAAAATTTTTGTGTTTTTTGAACCATATCAGTAATATTAACGCCAACGTGATCACGATCATGAGGTTAGGACTGTCCGTTATATTCAAAATTTTTCATTCTAGTTCACATTCCTAAAATTATAGAAACATTCACAAGGTCACTTTAAAGTCTGCCAAAAAAGAAATATATAACTTGACTATATGTAAATGTAAAGTAGATGTGTAAAAATTATTTTTATGAATCGGCAATAAAATACCCATTTGTATTTAAAAGTGTAATAGCCTTCCCTAAAATCGATGAATTTGAATAAATTGGTGCGCACGTAACGTTCAGGAATTCACATTGCTACGTGATAACGGAATTTCCAACAACCGTTTTTATTTCATGTGATTTCCTTAAAATAGTGCATCTACCACCGAGAACAGGCCTCTTAACTGCGTTTCTGAGCGTTACTTGTGCAGAACAGCAGATATCTAAATATAATAATTATCAAATCACACAACACGCTTGCCGCTTTTTTAGGGTAAAAGTAGACGCAATGTTCACCGTAATATTTGATAATACCAAATGATGTGCCTCTTGACTAATTGTTATATAACAATGATAAATCTTAAAAAAAAACACGTGACCTGCTTGGTCTCATGTTCGCATATAAATGTCGTACAGACCTAAGCTTTAACATATGTGAGGTATTAAAGTA